CAAGAGAAGATGAAAGATGCCACCTGAGCCAAGAGGCCTCCTTTGGGCTGCCTCAGTGCTTCTCGTTTTTCAGAATTCTGAGGTTAAGCAATCGGATAGTAAATTCTGTTTCTGGTTTTGAATACGTGTGTTCTGTTTACCTCAATTTTAAGCCATTGATATAACTGTGAGGCTAATACGTAAAATCTCTTTTACTTTCCTTTGTAGTCTGAGTTCAAAATTGTAGCCAGTCTTCGCTCTGCGAGAGCTACAAAAAGTCCTTGATTTGGCTTTCCAGGTGGCTTGTTTGCATAAGCCCAGCGTGGTTTTTAGGCATGTGTCTACTTGTTTCCTCTTCTTTTGTTAAGTGTTGTCAAGAGTTTACCAGCCTCAAGAACACAAAAAGTTAAACTTCCTATCTTCTGTTATAATTTTCATACAATTTAACATAGCTTTAAACAGATTAAGTATTTCCTAGGTGCATTTGGTGTAAATGTTGTACATTAGGTGTCTTGGTTACTTCAGTTTTAACATCGAAGCTTTCAAAATGTAATATCTTTATTTAAGATATTTTAGTTTGTAGTCATTTTCTCTAAAGTAATTTTGCTGGAATTTTAAGAGACTTAGCTTTTGCTGGGCTGTGTTTCAGTTATTCCTCAATAATATCTTTCAGGAAAATCCAGCTATGGCTGTTGCAATCAAAACATGTAAAAACTGCACCTCAGACAGCGTTAGAGAAAAATTCTTACAAGAAGCCTGTGAGTATTAAAATACTTCTTTTGGGATAGCTTCTGAAAGCGGTGCTTGCAAAGACTGCAGCCGTCTGTGCCAGAACTTCTGATACTAATGTGGATCTTTCCTAAATATATGGCATGATCATCTCCTTTCCTGCAGTATGTGCCGGGAAGACCGCTTTACATCCTTGCGTTGCCCATGTGTGTGATTATATGTGGGTTCTTCAGTTTTCTAGGTTGAACAGTGATGTCTGACTCGTGGAAGGCTTCAGTTTTGGAATGAGATGTGATCCTCTATTTCCTTCTTTCTCCTTAATGAGTTAAAAAAAACCCATATCACTTGTCAGGTGGTTGTCTTTGTTAACAAAGTTGCTAATGTCTAAGAGAGATCTGTTCTGAAAGTTTGGGATTAAAAATTATGATAGAATAGACCAATTTTGGAAGTGATTGCCCACAAATATTGCATTCCCCAAACGGGACGTTTCATACCTGGAGGAAGGCTTTGTGTTGAGATGAGTGCTAACACAAAACTTCTAGAAGCATATTGTGGTTAACTGATTTCTCTACTGTTTGGTTTTGTAAGCAAATTAAGATATTAATTAGGTCTTAATTTTTGCCTGTTATCCTCTGCTATTGTTTATCTATCAATCTCACAGAGGTATTGTATTATACCAATAAATTATTTGGTTATGGCCAGATGTTACAGTATACTTTTATTCACTATTCCTTTGATCAAGGATTTTTTCCTAATTGTTCAGAACATCTGTGTTGATAGCTAATAGGTTCTTATTTTTGGATGTCAGATTTTTCTTAAATTACTATAATTTTTCCCATTACATTTCTAGCTGTTGGAAAAGTAAATACCATTGCTTATAGTAATAACTTAGCAGTCAAAGGTAGGCTGCTGTCTCTTAACAATGTGGAAAATAATTGCTCATTGAATGCTCCTTATTATGCTCTGCACTTGACAGATTAGGAAATGCCAATGTAGTAGACAGGTAAATAGTGCTTTTCAATTTTGATTTAATAGTTTTGCCATTTCTTCTTTCTTTTTTATATTCTACGTCCCATCTGTTACCTTTCTCTCGTTTGTGTGCAGATTGCAAACTCTCTCAGAAGATACTGCCTCCTAGTTTTTAAAAGCACTCTGCAAAAGGCCCAAATCCAATATCTGGAGAGGCAGAGTTGGTTATTTCACTGAGTTAAGAAATTTATTTCCTAATATTTTAATATTAGCAACATTAAAATATTTTTGGGGTTTAGTTCTTTGCTGGTGGTAGAGTTTTCAATGCTGAAATGATTTAGTATTGATTCTTGCAAGGAGGAACACATCAGTATAAAAAGTAGATGAAAGAAAATGTTTTTATGAGCAGCACCTGTCGCTTCATTCCTATCCACTTTTTTGTAGCAGTATATTATTATTAATTTATTTATGTATGCTAAAGTACAAACCACCTGATTTGGGGAGATTTGTATTGATGTTCCACTGGCTTTTGTAAATTGCATCTTTCTGCAAGTAGTTCATTCCTCTCACCTCTAGAAGCTGGATGGCAAAAAGATGTAATAACTCTACTACCTTTCTCAATTTGTGAGCTTGTCAGCTAACATTGAATTAATTACTGGGAAGTACTTTCTAATAATGGAGTATTTTATGTTTAGAACTGGTAGGACGATATGATATAAAACTACTTGTGTTAATTGCCTTGCCATTGCTTTGATAATTAAAACTGTATTCCTGCTTCATTTTTGGATCAATGAAGCAACGTTTCCATGTTACAAAACAATGTAAATTGCATTGAATTAGATTAGCACAAGAGAACCCTAAAGCTAAATAATTAGGGTTTTTTTTGAATATACACTTTATTTACCAAGATTTTAATACTAACATTGGGTTCAGGTACACTAGTTTAGCAATGCACACTTTTTCAGGGTGTCAGAAATAGCTTCCCTCTTCGGAATTCATTTACTTCAAAAGGGAAGAGGGGAATTGAGTGATGTAGGAATCTGGCTTCAATTCTATGTAGTATTTTAGCAGTTGTTATGTTTCACCACATTATTTATTCCTTTTTGTTAATGCATTAAGCTATATCGTTGATAGGGATGTTTGTTTTACTGATTTTTTTTCTGTATTATTCGTAACACATTAATATTTAAAAGAATATGTTACCTTAAGGTTGCAACTGTAAGTTTGCCCATATAAGTTTCTTTGCAGGAAAACACATTGTTGAACTTTTACAACACTAGGTCTTACAAACATCATTGCACAAGGATTTTTCTTAGACTTTCTGTCGTTGCAAGTTGTTTGGTTATACAGCTGCACAGAAGTAGAATTCAGAGCTTATCAGAGTAGAAATCCAAAAAACACCTCCTGGTTTTTGCTTGTGGTTAATTGAATGCCAAAAAATAGCATTTTTTATTCTTGTCCAGTTTGGCAATTACCATGTATTTCTGTTGACACTACAAATTAAATGTAAAGGAGATACTAATTTAATATTAAATTAAGGATATTTGTCAAGATTAAGTTAAGGATATTTGTCATGCATGTGTTGGAAGAGAAGAACTTAATCAGAGGACTGATGTTTCATTTAACCTCCCCAAAACGTTGATAAGCAGCGAGTCACTCACTGAAGCGAGCAGCTCCCGTGCTGGCATGGTCAGCAGTGGGGAGCTCTAGCGTGGTGTGCAGAGGGGTTTCCTGAACTGAGGAAACCTCAGGGGAGCATAGACACCTGCCAGGAGCCACAGTGCCTGAGGAGACCTGGGCAGGGCCAGGAGCAGCAGTGCAACTGCCACTGGCACTCGTTCGCCAAAGCGAGCAGCTCCGGTGCCAGCAAGTTCCGCAGCAGAGCGGAGGATTGTGGTGTACAGGGGGATGTACAGACACCACTTGGAACACTGCATTCAGCTCTGGAGGCCCCAGCACAAGAAGGACATGGAGCTGCTGGAGTGGGTCCAGAGGAGGGCCACGAAGATGATCCGAGGGCTGGAGCACCTCTGCTATGGAGACAGGCTGAGAGGGTTGGGGCTGTTCAGCCTGGAGAAGAGAAGGCTCCAGGGTGATCTTATAGCAGCCTTCCAGTACCTAAAGGGGGCCTACAGGAAAGCTGGAGAGGGACTTTTGACAAGGGCGTGTAGTGATAGGACAAGGGGCAATGGATTTAAATTGAAAGAGGGCAGATTTAGGTTAGATCTAAGGAAGAAATTCTTCACTCTGAGGGTGGTGAGGCACTGGAACAGGTTGCCCAGAACAGTTGTGGCTGCCCCATCCCTGGAAGTGTTCAAGGCCAGGTTGGATGAGGCTTTGGGCAACCTGGTGTAGTAGAGGGTTTCCTTGCCCATGACAGGGGGGGCTGGAACAATATTATGTTTAAGATCCCTTCCAACTTAAACCATTCTATGATTTGTGTGTCTTACTGCATAAAATGCACTGTGAATGCACTGCTGAGACTGAAAAATTAATTAAGTCCATGGGAAATAAAATGAGATGTGAACATAATCGTTAAATGAGATTTTTTTCTCTGTCATAAGCTGGCACACATTTTTTCCAGACATTGTGAATTGCACATACTGTTCTCTTGTAGTAGAAAGGCGCAGGTTAATTGTTCATGCACTGGAGTGGCAGGTCGTTGTGTTCACTTCGGTTGTGCTCAGCTGGGGCAGAAGAGCCGCAGAGCCTGGCCTGACTTGCACCATCCACAGCAGGTTACTTTGTAAGAGTGGGAGTAGCACCACTAGAGCGAGCAGCGTTCCATGCTGCCTGCAGAACCTTGAATGACCAGATACTGTTGCTTGCAAGCAGCTGTTTTCAAGTCCTGCAGAGCTGTGATGATGTTTTCTGATCAGGGACTAAGTGCTTCTTAAGTTACTTTTTATTTTTGTTTTAAAAAATGTTTTATTTAACACGCCAACGTGTTTCTTTTCCTTTTAGTAACGATGCGTCAGTTTGATCATCCTCACATTGTGAAGCTCATTGGAGTTATTACGGAAAACCCAGTTTGGATAATCATGGAGCTCTGTACGCTTGGAGAGGTAAGAAAAATCTCCGTGCAGCTTTGCTGTTCTCTCTTTTAGCTCATGGGTACCTTTACAAAAGGCTGAAAAAATCACTTCTCAGTACTAATGTGAGGGCACTCTTCTCACACGTGGTCTCATACTCGTTTACAGAATTGTAGTGGAGGATTTCTCTGCCCATGACAGGGGGGTTGGAACTAGATGATCTTTGAGGTCCCTTCCAACCCAAACCATTCTATGATTCTATTCTATGGATTATGCACTCAGAAACAGGAGTGGCAGAATTCAACCTAACTCCTGCTGAGGGAAGTGCATCAGCTCATGCCAGAGGGATTTAGTCATAGTTTGCAGAGAACTTCAGTTGCTCTTCCCGAGTGAGAGCGTGACCTGCGTCAAGATGATGATAATGCAATATCATTTAAACAGCAGTTGCAGACATTCCTTCTGAAAGTTAAATGATATGGTCCATCTTTATTCTTCCTGAGTAAGACAGCATTTTCCCTTGGAACACTGAATTTCTAAGGATTTTTTTCTGTACAGCTTCTGCAGCAGAGACCCTAGATAAGATGACTTTCCTTTTTATTATGTCTTTTGGATGGATGGTTTAAACAAAACTAGGTCTCAGTTTTTATAATCAGATTGTTTTCTTGGAGCTGTGTGTTTCTGAAAACATGAGCTGAAGTGATAGTTCATACTGCATTGTAAGATAGCCAGTGTCATTATCAAACTGCAGGATGTTGTCCAAGAGAAAAAAAAGGCAAAAAAACTTGTAGTGGAGAAGTCATTTTCTGTCAAAAGTCACTTTTCAAAACCTTGTTTTAATTTGTAAGGAGACTCTAGTGCCACCTTCCATGAGGTCCTAACTGCCTTTTACTAGGAATACAGCTTATAAAAATCCTGCATTGATATTGGCTCCTCTGAGCTAAATCCAGTTGTTTTAGCAAATGTAGATTAAAATTAATGCTTCCAAAACCGTACTGATCTAATAAATGTTCAGATTGGCCATGTCCTGTTTTGTTCTGAAATTATTTAGGCCAAAAACGTGCAGAGTTCTCAAGGGAATAATGCATGAAAAGTCCAGGGGTGCTTTACTCTGGAAGAGCAGCAGCATCTGCTCTCATTCTTCAAAAGGAGCCTGAAAGCAATGCACAAAGTTTTTGTTTTGTTTGCTAACAGTTTTCATGTAGAAAAAACTGCTCAGATTAAACCCAGAGTCAGATTTCTCATGGCAAGTGATTTTCTTCTCTTGTCCAGTCTGAAGGGGAAGATACCCATTGATTCTTATGCCCCATCTTATGCCCCAACTTTAAAATTTGAGATACGTCTTGTTCCAATTTATTAATTTTTTTGTCCTAACTGCTTTCCTTTTTTTTTTTTTGTTCTTCATGCACAAAGTTGAGATCGTTTTTGCAAGTAAGAAAATACAGCTTGGATCTGGCTTCTCTGATACTCTATGCTTACCAGCTTAGCACAGCACTTGCCTACTTAGAGAGCAAAAGATTTGTACATAGGTAAGATTTTATACATATATATGTGTATGTATGTATTTTTATATGTAACCATTTGAAATGCTAGAGAGTATGAGGTGTCCTAGATTATTAGATTTTTGACTGGCAGTGTTCTGGCTTTTAGATACACTACCTCTAGTGAAGAGAAACTCTTACATCACATCGTTGGATTCTTGCAAGCTTTCCTTTTGTGTTTCTTTTCCTTGACTACGATGATTGTGTAGCAGCAATACTTTGAAACTCCTAAAATCCACTGACCTGTTTCATGTCAGCCTCTATAGCAGTATGTCACTTTTTCCAGAGGCTGTCACCAAAATCACACCCTTTTCAAGAGTGACACCTGCTGGCCGCCTCCTAGATTGACCCGGAGATGGTGCTGGATTTTTAATTTTAAAGCTGAGTTGTTGCTTTGTAGTTACAATATGTTTTAAAGCTGCGGGTCAACTCTAATCTTCCAAACATAGAAGAGCAAAACAAGGGGCAACCAGCTTCTTAAGTAACAGAGAAAACAAAATATTTATAAAATATAAGTATTTGCTTAACCAAAAGAGAATCTAAATTTTCTTCTAGGTGTGTTTTGAATTTTATTCCTTTGAATTTGAACTTGAGCTTTCTAAGGAGAGTAAAGTGGCTTTAGCCTACTACTGTATGCAATTAAAAGTTCACAGCACTCCAATTATCATGTACCATTTCATTTTGGATTTGAGTGGTTTATTTGTGTTTAAATATTTTGGTTCAAATTGTATATACATGTTGTATATACTGTATATAGAAACACTTATATATTTTTATATATATAAGTATTAGGTATGTATATAGAAACATTGTAAATAACAGACCCTTGCAATTGTTATGGATACTTGGATTTCAGCCAGGTTAACTGCAGCAGAAGTTGTTCCATATATGACTTTCTCATACTGTGCTGAAATGGGAGGAAATGGCACCGCTCGGTTTGCTGTGCTTATTGTTGCTCAAAGCAAAATCTGCCCATGCTTAGTCAAGCCTGCTGAAATCCAGAATCTATGGACACATAAGGTGTGTTGTCTCTCCTGGGAAACTGCAGGAGAAAAATGCCCCATAATATTATCATGCCATAATCCCTGTGGCGTCACTAAAAACTGAGCTCCTTGTTAGGAAGCCTCTTACAGGACTGAGATCTTAAAGCAATTCCTTACCTTCACAAGGTCAGGAGGCAACTTTTCTTCTTTCCATCAATTCTAATTGCCAAAAATTGTTAGCCTGTGATATTTCGGTAGATGAAGAATAAAACTTTTTCCTCTGATGTTGACATTGATGGTTATACTCTTCCAGTACCTCAAGGGGGCCTACAAGAAAGATGGGGAGAGGCTGTTCAGGAGGGCCAGTTGTGATAGGACAAGGGGTAATGGTTTTAAAATAGAGGGAGGTAGATTCAGGTTGGATATTAGGAAAAAATTTTTTACCATGAGAGTTGTAGAACACTGGAACAGGTTGCCCAGAGAGGTGGTGGATGCTCCATCCCTGGAGACGTTCAAGGCCCGGTTGGATGAGGCCCTGAGCAACCTGATCTAGTTGGAGATATCCCTGTTCCTTGCAGGGGGGTTGGACTAGATGACCTTTGAAGGTCCCTTCCAGCCCTAACGATTCTATGATTCTATGATTCTATACTTCCAGAGAGTTACTGCTCATAAGGATCAGATATACTTAGCTTCTCAGAATCACTGGACAAACATGTAGTCCTCTTTTTCTGTACGTGCACACCCAAACCGTGACTAGAAAAATAATTCAGTCCTCTCAAAGGCATTTGATACTTCTGGGGTTTGACAATTTTTTCCAAATGGTATTTCACCACTCGAAGTTTTTCTGATTACTAGAAATGTCTCCTCTGTTTGGCAGGGACATTGCTGCTAGAAACGTGCTGGTGTCTGCCACTGACTGTGTCAAATTAGGGGACTTTGGTTTATCCCGATACATGGAAGACAGTACTTACTATAAAGGTGAGTTGACACTGGATCCTCCTTGCAGGCCAGTTAGGACATGATTGCTTCTCACACATACTGAGTTTGTTCTCAGAAGAAATTAACCAGAATTTCTCGGTCTAGCTGTTGTATTTGTATAAAAAAGCAAGCTATTCAGAGAAGCTGTGGATGCCCCATCCCTGGAGGTGTTCAAGGCCACGTTGGTTGAGGCTTTGGGCAACCTGGTGTAGTGGAGGGTGTCCCTGCCCATGGCAGGGGGGTCGGAACTAGATGATCTTTGAGGTCCCTTCCAACCCAAACCATTCTATGATTCTATGATTCTATGATTCTATGATTCTATTCAACAATTTAATAGATACAAATCAATTCCTATTCCTGTATAGGTAAAATTCCACTTTTTAGGACAAGCTCATACTGCTTTCTTCACGATTTTTAGAAGATTATCCACATTTGAGGCCTCTTTGAGATAATATTCATATTCATGGCATAATACAGGTGTTCTGCAATGATTTCAAGGTTACCTACGTATAAATTCTGAGTTTGTGCTGTCATTGTATGCTACATAGTTCGGATGCTGCTGGACTAGGGAGATTGAGGTCAAAGAAGTCTTTGAAGCCTACATTTTCACCCATTTTGGATGGAATACTGATCTTCCGTGGCTCCAGCAGCTGTGAGATGTCCTGCAGTGCCTGATAGATTGGAGATACAGCAGGAGAGTAGGGATTGCGTGTAGGGTACTAAACAGCAGCATTTTAAATCTGGTGTATATTATGAAACCATGTATTCAGAAATCTGATCTTCAGTGCCTCTCTAGTTTCAGTCTTACATTTTCAAATAACCTTCATCTGTCCCCTTACACTCCGTCATGTTTCCTTGTTCCGTTTGTCTCGAATCGCTGCAAGCTATGTATCGTCGTTTTAATTGCCGAGAGGAGAGGAGGAATACTTTTGACTTAATCATTTCTTGTTGTGCTTTTGGTGTTAGTTGTTGGAGGCTTTATTGGGAGGTTTGGGGGATTATTTGGGGGTTTGTTGGTTCTTTTTTCTGTTTTATGTAAGGCCAAACCAACCTCCCCTTTTTTAATGAATCATTTAAAAACACCTACTTCCTTGCTGAGGTTTTGTGACTGTTTCAGAGTCGGTGCGAGCACGTTCTTAACTGGAAGCAACAGTCGCATCTCGAAATAAGAATTAACTTGAAGGAGCTCAGTCAGTCTGAATATTTAGGCAAAGTGCTGCTCTTCTCTCTAGATAAAAGACTGCCAGCAGAACTGATCAGACCATGCAGAAACCTCTTGTACAAAATCTAAGCGCTTCGCTGAAGATCGGTTTTGCCTGTGAATTATTTCACTGAGAACAAAATCTATGAGCTCAGTAGTAAGAATAAAAGCCTTCCTTCTCTTACCTTCCCTGTAGCTTCCAAAGGAAAATTACCTATCAAATGGATGGCTCCAGAGTCAATCAACTTCCGACGCTTTACCTCAGCTAGCGATGTGTGGATGTTTGGTAAGTGCATACCAAATGGTGGGATTTCTGAAGTGTTGTGTTGGCAGAGTTCAGTGTTTTTAACATTTTCACTATTGTAAATGAATAATTTCCGGATATTTGGCACTGTTGTTCCTGTACTTTCTGAAAAATCTCGTTTCTTCCAGTGCATTTTCCATCCTGTATTTTCCTTTCCTTTTCCCACTCAATAAGCCTAACTTTCGTGTGCCTTTTCACCTGTAGTAAGAAGCTGACAGAAATGAAGGTACAAGGAAATCAGGGCATAGTCATAACGGAGATGATTTTTTTTTTTACTGTTATTTTTCCCTCTGATTTCTTTTTGTTAAATCATTGTTATTTAGCCACTGGAATAGGCTGCCCAGGGAGGTGGTTGAGTCCCCATCCCTGGATGTGTTTAAGAATAGGGTGGATGATCTACTTGAGGATATGGTTTAATGGGGATTAGGGATGGTTGGACTCGATGATCTCTAAGGTCTTTTCCAACCTAGAAATCTATGAATTTACTGTTTCTATTTTATATTTTCACTTTTTCTTTTGTGGTGATATGCCTACTTTCTTGCTTAATGCATAGCTCAGCCTACATGATGTCCTGTTTCCAGATCTTTAATGCTAAATTCCTACTTAATTTGTCTTTCATAGCTCCTGCTAGCTTACAAAATATGACCAGAAACTGAGTAAAAATAAGGGGAAATGGAAATATCCTGAAGCCTTGGTCTTTTTTCCTAAATATGCAGACTTGTATATGTATCTATTCACCTGTGCTCAAACTGGTCCAAACTACTGTAGGTCTGGACAAACAGGACAAAGATAGTGTAAGAGAACAAAACTGATGAGGCTTGAAATAATAGCAGGGCAGACAAGTTAGGGCTCACCTTCTCGACAAAATAAAATTTGAATGGTTTTAAGTGAAGAGTATGTGAATTTTAGCAGATTTATAACAGTTTGAAGAAAACTCTAGTACAGTCTGAGTTAGAAAAATGAAGTCTATGGAACATTCTGGCCAATCCCAAACTGACAGACCGTTTTTCCCTTTGTGCTTTTAACGTAGTTTCAACAGAAACTGTTTTATTACATAGTTTCAGCACAAAAGATTTGGATCAATGCCAGCGTTAAAACACTCTCAAAGTGAAAACACGCTCTACGTGTCGAAACAAGCCAGTGGGAGCTCGTCAAAGGGAAAAGCAAACACAGCTCATTCTGCCTCATAAAAGAGGAGGTTTGAATATGAGCAACCATTCTGATTTACAACAGGTAAAAGGTAGCTACATGTGAAGCTGCCATGAGCCAGCTGTGGGTCATGCTTCCTCATAAATAGTTCAGATGAATTCTGTGTGTATAATCCTACTGCACATCACTCCTCCCTGCTGCCAGCCGGTAAGTCAAAACTGATTCCCTGGCTATACGTTTCAGAAGAAATTGTGTTTGGCTGTACAAAACTGGGCTTCGCTTCTTTTTTAAGAGGTTTTGTTGTTTGCTGACACTGGGGAAAACTGTTTGTGTGCCTTTCTCAGGTGTGTGTATGTGGGAGATCCTAATGCATGGGGTAAAGCCCTTCCAGGGAGTGAAGAACAATGATGTGATTGGGCGAATTGAGAACGGTGAGCGGCTCCCAATGCCTCCAAACTGCCCTCCTACCCTCTACAGCCTTATGACCAAGTGCTGGGCGTACGACCCTAGCAGACGACCCAGGTTTACTGAACTTAAAGCACAACTCAGGTAGGGTTATACTTCTGAAAGGTTCATTCCTTGTTCAGAAATATTTCTTTACGCTGTATCTTCTCTTACGGTATTTCTTTCCGTGGAAAATGCAGGACAGAGGTTTTCAGTTATCTTCAGAAGGCCAGGTTGCCGGTAGTCTTTTGGAAATCCAAACTTTATCTGTTGGAGAGAATTAGACTAGACAATAAATTCACATAACTGGAAATATGAATCACCTTTCTCTCTCAAGAAGAACTTCATATTTTACTAGAAATTTGTTTTATAATTTTAACTATTTATGCTACGGTCGTTGGGGAGGGGAGTAGAAAGAATTTAGAGTGATGACTTAGTCAAACATGCATTGTACAGTTTTAAGGTAGAAATATGTCCTTTCTTAAGTGAACCATCAGGTGAGTGCTGTTGAAAGTTATTTCCTTAACATATGCAGCACACTGGCTGCCCCGTGGCAGCTGTGTCTCTGCAATTGCGGAGTCTGCAATAAATGCAGCGTCATTAACTAGAAATTCCTTTGCCCTTTGTAAACCAGGATATAGACTACCTTATGTTTATCTTGGAATAAATGTGAGCACACACTTTAGACACCAGACTAAATTCACACCCTAGTTTATTCTGCAATGATTTGTTCCAGTGTCTGTATCTCCATTTCACCAGGCACAAAATGGGAGTGCTGTTTAAACTGTGAAACATCACTGAGAGATTGTGTAGACAAATTTTATATTTATGACCACCTTTAGGATTTAATGAGTGCTCAGTATCTATTTTACCTACGTCAATATAAGCCTCAAACAGTATGTAGGTATTGTACACTGCAAATTCACTCTTGGAATTGTTGTCATTCATTGCCAAATTCTTCAGTTTTATGTCTTGTTTCAAAGTTGTGCTTTGTGGCATATTTTATTTTCGTAATATGATTTTATGCTGTCACTGGGTGTTCATGGTAGAAGAGAATTCACAGGTGGTTAAAAAAAGAGACAATTTTAATATGATGCTGTTTCAGAGTTGCTGTATGGATAACTTAGCTACCTCTAAGTTTCATCCCATTTCTTAAAATGTGTGGTTCTGCCATCTGTTACTCTGGGAGCTCCTGTGTAGACGAGTAATTTACTAGGTAGAGGAAGACGTAGCCCTTCTCACCAAGAACTTATGCTATTGACTGGGTGGAGTTAACTGCAAAGGAAGGAATGGTAAAGCTTGGTAGGGATTGCAAGGAAAAGATATGACACGGTTGTGTGATTTGAGTAATAGGAGGAAATTGGCAATTCACTTGCTTTTTTTTTTTTGGCTCTGGAAGAATAGAATTCTTATTAATTTGCAGTCAGATTGTACTGATAATTTACAGCTGGCTGGCACAGAGAAGAGTGAAGCCCTAAAAAAATGTGACTGGGGAGATGGCTGTGGCATGTAAACCCAGGCAGAGAGAGTATCTCACTAGCAAGGGAAGAGGATGAGTAAATTCAGAATAAAAGTAATTGTGTTGGAGAGTGAAATGAATGTGGGCTGTACTCAGAGAGAGAGCGAAGGCAGCAGCCCTTGTAACAGCATGAGTCTGGAGGGGGAAGAGGTGAGGAGAAGTGAAAGATGTGGAAAGATATCACCAGTTCAACAGGACAGATGAGTTCCCAAGAGCCTGGCCCTCCTCGGAAGCGCAGAGCCAAAGAGCGAGAGCCAACGGTCACAACTCGCAGCAGCGCAAGTTCTTGTTAGTCACAAAAGCATCTGGGTAAGCACTGAAACAGGGCACGCAGAGAGATTCTGGAATTTCCATGCTGGGAAGTTTTCAGACCTTGACTGGAAAAGGATCTGAGCAACTTGACCTTGCTGTGCATGGAGCCCAGCTTTGCCAGGAGACTGGATTCAAAACCTCCAGGAGCCTCTTCCAACCTAAACGATTCTCTGGTTCTGAATGAGACATGCGCCAAGGGGGGTGGTTTTTTGTTCCTCTGGTCATGCCAGATGATTTGAAGCATTGTTTAGAGGACAAGCTCTCTCCTGAGGCCACAGCAACCCTGGTTTTACTCTCTTCTCACCAAAGCAGAGAGTTTTCTACCACTCCAAACTGGTGACCTTTATCTCCTGGAAGTTAGGCACCACGGTTGTCCTTACGGTGTATTTGCGCTGCTCACAGTTGGAGTCAGCGTCTCGTTGGAGAGGCTGCCAATTCTCTTAGGATGAGGCAATCTCAGGCAGCTAGGAAAGATTGTGTTTCAAAACTCAGATTCCCATGAACTTGCAAAAACAAGCCATTTCCCTGGTGGCCTTTTCTGTGTGGTGTTGCCGCTGCTCGTTCTGGACCCTGTCCAGGGTAGTCTTTTCAAGCTGAGAGCAGACTAGTTGTTTGCTCGAAGCCAATGATACAGCACCGCAACGTTTCTCTCTGTTTTAATGAGAAAAAGTCCATGGCTTTGGGAAAAAACTTCTTTTCTGCATCTGAAATAGCACTGATGGGAGCATAAGCATTTCGTGTGTTCTCTGTTATTTGATGCTTTTCCCATTTCAGAGTAACATCTGCTTTCCACAAACTTGATTTGCAGCAGATTGTGCACTGCAAAGATGCTGATTTCTGTAGAATTTATTTAGTGTTATTAAGGTACTAATAAGGCCTGGTATTTTATAGCATTTGGTCTGTCTGAAGTGGGTAGGGGTGAGTTGATCTTCGTGGCAAACGTAGAAACAAATGGGTGGATTGTGGATTTCGAAGTGTAATTCCTCCTCACATCCTAGGTCCCTTTTTCGATTTGCAGGGAGGAAAGGTGATAAAAGTGAGATTAAGTCAGGAAGGTGAGGTGCTACCCTGCTGCTCTACTCTGACTGACTGGGCCAGACTTAGAATCTGGGATATTTTAATCAGGAAGCGTGTGTTCCCTTGCTGGTTTTGTGTAGAAGAGATTTTTCGTCTTGCTAAATAATATAAAAGGCCCTTTGCAAAGTGTTCAGTGTACCCAAGTCATGCAGTGTGACTTCTAGTGTGTTTCTCTTCAGAATGACTCCCAGCCCCTTACTATACTGTAATTGTACACTCGCTATTACCATACACTTTCATACACATGTGTATTATCAAATTTAATTTATTCTTTGCCGTGTTCAATATGCTGCAAGTGTGCATTGCTAAGGTAGCACCAGTATACACCCAGGTTTTCTTACAAGCTCCCAGGCTTGTGCTTGTGGGTCGTGGTGCCCTGAATGTCCCTTTGGTTGGTAATTCTGTTAAAACTGGGGTTTTTTGCGTTGGAGGTTAAGTTGGATTCTAATTTTGAGGTTTTGGATTAATGTAGTTGCACATTTTTCACTGCATCATTGAATTAATTTCATCTAAAGTACCTGTTGATAACTTTCTCTCTACCAAAAATAGCAAAACAAAGAGCAGAGGTATCACTGCCGTGGTACGAGTGCCAGTCCCAACTTCTGTTGGTCACTGATGAAGAAGCACAGGTTTTAACACAGTGGATGACCCCACTAACATCCCAACGCTGCAGGTCACATATTAAATACAGCTCTAAAAAGAGTTTTTAAAAAAAAAAGAAAAAATACTTATTCATGCTTTTAACATCTGTTTTTATGACAACAGTGAGATAATTAACTGATGAGAACTTGAGTAGAGCCTTTTTGTGACTGTATTTGATGTAGGTCTTGAAACGTTGCTTCTAAGTAAAAGAAACAAAACTGATGAAAGTGAGGGCAGTTTGAGTCCTCTCCTTTCATGGCATCCTGCCAAAAAAATATTTTGACACATACTTCAAATACATGATGGAGGATGCAGAATGCTTCATTTGCCTTTTGCTCTTTGACAGCGACCATTAGGAATAATCTATAATCCACATGAAAGTCTATTTAAATTAGAGCAGGATGTGAAAATATGTTCTTCTGCGTCCAGCTTTGCATTTCTGCTGGGCAGAGACCTCAGAGGGGAAAAAAAAATGCTGCTTGTTCGGGGTCAGCGTTTACTGTAGGTTCCCTCACCACCATAGCAGCAAACACTGGCATTGCTGTGTCTTTTGAAATGTAAGGATACATTTTAGTTCTTCGGATATTCCTACACTGAAGCTCCCAGTAAATGTTTCGTTTTCAACATCACAGGCCAATTTCAGTAAAAAGATTATTTGTAAATGAAGTAAGTTGATCAATTATGCAGCCTTGCAGTAGTTGAGATTCTTCGTCAGGCTTCACCTAGCCAAGATGATGGGTTGAGATTTGCTAGAGAAATCAAATGAATAGAAGTACTTCTCTGCTTGCTCCTCTTTGCTGCTAAAAATATGTGCAGTTTGGGAAAATATGCCTAGATTTGACTTTCCTGACCTTCTGCAAATTATAATAAACTGTTCAGAGTTCTTAAGCAGCTGCACTGAGAAACAGTCAAAAATATCTCTTGGCACGCTTTGACTTCGTCTATGGATTAGTTTTCCCTTTGTAAAAACAAAGATGTTTCTGTGAGTCATTTATATCCTGTGTGGTTTTTTTGAATAATGCTTCTCTGAGGCATTTCTATTTTATATTCTCGTCAGTAGTACTCAAGGGCATCCGAGTACCAGTTCTGCGGCAGCTGAGCAGCCTTTGCCCAGGCTGCTTTACTGGGTTGCTGGGGAAAGGACCTCCTGATGACACAGGCAAAGAAATAGCAAGATGGGATGAAACAGAGTTGTAAGGCAAGAAGCTGAGGCTATGTGATGAAAAACAAGTTGTTTCAGTAGAAATTTGTCATTTCCAGTAATATGATTGAAGTTGGTTGTATTATATTAAATATCGTGACATAACAGATACAATGGCTTTGGTAGCCCAGCGGATGGGCATTGGTGTTTCATTCCTTTTTATGGAAAAAACAGGACCGTGCTGTGACCAATTATGTTCATGGCCCCAAATTGTCAATAAGCCATCTCTAAATTTAGGCAACGGCTTTTAGCCGCCTCCTGTTCCAGTCCTTTTGCTGAGATTAGAGCAACGCTGTATCAACAGCTTCCTTAGAACAGCTTTGGTTTTGCCGGGGTGGGATTTTTTGTGTTGTTGCGGTTTTTAGATCTTGAGATATTTCTTGGAAGATCATAATGCTGGTTCGTGGCTATGGATGTGTGTTGGCCGATTTCTCCTGCTGCATACAAATATCTGAATTATGACCAAACTTCAAAGCAGTGGGTTTTTTGCTAGTTCTTCATGGGTTCAAGTAAGAAATACTGCTGTTTTCCTTGTTCTGAAGGAAGAGAATGGTGAAATCAAAAGATTTTCTCTTTTTACTTCCCTCCATTGGGCAGTGGCTGAGTTTCCGTGGTAGTTTTATCAGGATGGCTTTTGCAAATAGCTCGACTGATTTTGTTTTTGTTCCACATTCTTGTGTTACTCCAGCAATGATGGATTGAAATTGCAGCAATACTTATAAACTCGGTTTAGCTGCAGTGGGACGAGATGGCTTCTCTGCTTTTTAGAAGTGGCACAGATTTTTATTTTTTGGCTGAGTAAGGAATAGCAAAGTTCACATCTCCAACCAAGCAGGAATTTATTCTTGAAATAAGCAGTAAAGTTCCAAGATTAGAATAGATTGCTGTAGTTGATCTCATCCCCTGCATGAGTAATTCTGGGTGGTTATTTAGCAGGCTGAACAGGAGATTATAAACGCAGAACCTAGCTTTGTTCTGGGAGCTCTGGAGTGATAAAGAAGCTGGAATAGCTCCTTTACAGGATTATTTTTGCTCTGGGGATAGCGATACGTAAATCGTCAGCCCTAGTCACATCTCCAGACTATCCATGCAGCGTGCAGCTCCAGCGAATTTGCAGCTCACTATTTCAAAGCTTCATTCCGAGTATTTTTCAAATGGCAAATATCCAACATTAATAATCCACATAGCAGAACTGGGAGGAGGCAGCTGCGGGGGCAGCAGTATCACGTTGAACTTCAAACAGTCTTTTTAATAGTCAGAACAGTGGTAAGTAGCAAACTGCTTTTACTACTGTCTCGTTCTTCGGTGAAAGTGTAGCCTTTTGACCTGAGTGTTCGGAAGCCGAGTGAATACTGTCAGATATTTCTGTTTTGCTGAATTAGTTTGCTGAATGTGTTCCTGGTTAGACTAAAACGTAAGAGCTGAAGCCATAGTATTTAAAATGTTTTTGATTACTTTGTTTAAAACAAAAACCAAAAAAACAGGGATTTGAAGCTTTGTCGAGTTTCAGTAAAGAACATTTTCAGTTTAGAACCTTTTGTTCAGCAGAATGTTTTCTTGTGAAAAATAAGTTTTCATGCAAGTAAGTGCTCAATTAATTGTCTTTGACGATTTCTCTGTGTAATTGCACATCAAAAGAACTGTTAACATGCAAAAAAACATTTTGTGCCGGATCAACAGCTTTCTAAACACTCGGTGCTGCTTGTGTTGTTAAAATTATGCTGGTAATCCTGTGGAGTTTCTTCCTGGTACTGGTTTTCAGAAACCTGACCAATATAAGTAAAAGAAGTTTGTGTTTCAGTGCTCAATCACTTTGTCAAATGGTGTTTGTTAGTCTGAACAATGCGAGAGCTCTGGGGAGAGGTTTTTTAGACCCTGAACTGGAGTTTTACTTAAATATGATGCGTTTTTCTTAGTACAATACTGGAGGAAGAGAAGCTGCAGCAAGAAGAACGAATGAGAATGGAATCCAGGCGACAAGTCACAGTATCCTGGGACTCAGGAGGATCAGATGAAGCTCCTCCCAAGGTACCTAAGACTGCAAATGATATGTGTTTAAAAAAACAAACAAAAAAACGCCTTTTTATTCCATTTATTTCTTCAAAGCCTCCTTTGACAGGTTTTTTCAAACAATGGCATTCTGGCCAGTTTTGTCATCATCTGCTAGTACTTTCCTGAAACGACCCAGCTCTACTCGAACTGTTATTAGAACTGATCCAGGCTGTAATGTCACACTAACGATTTTCTGTTTCTTGTTATTTAACTTGAAAAAGACTACCATAGTTGCCACAAAATTGTTACCTGGCCTTTGCTTTTTTCTGTTTTCTCACAGCACTCCTAAGAAACGTTAGCTGGTGAGTTCTCAGACCACCATGAAGTTTATAGCGAAAGGATAGAAATCAACTAATTGCATTTTCCTAATTCTGGACAGAAAATTAAGGGGTTATTTCCAAGGACCTTATATATTTTAGTTTACACTTAATTTTACTTCATTGCATGTCTGTCCTGTTTGGATTGCTGATAACATAACACATTGCTGATGTGTTCTGCAGCTGTGGTAGTCTAACCCCACCAGTTGCTGAGCGCTCTCTTCTTTCACTAACTTGTCTGCTTCTCATTGGAATTATTTTGCACTTCGTGGGATCAGCCCTGTGTTTCAAGAATTTCATTTCGTGCGGTTACCACTGAAATGTGGAATATTATCTGCGTTCTGATCAGTTTGTGATGAATTCTTTTAGCTCCCTGCTTGAGCTCTGGTGCTGCTAATGGTTTCAGTAGTATTCATGTGACACCTTCTGCCGCACATATCCCCCAACAGTCGCAGGAAAGCAACTTATTTTGATTTTGTTTTATTTCCAGATTGTTGCCTGATAGATTTCCCAGCTTGGTTCTGCAGTTTGATAGCTTTATGGCAACCAAGAAATATGGGCACTGGAATTGTTGCTTTCATTTCAAGCTAGAAACAGCAAACAATCCATCAACCTGTTCAGTCATCTGAGATTAACTAGCAGGATTTGGTGTATATATCAACAGACAGTGTTCCAAGTTAAAGAAGCGGATAAACTGCATAAATTGGAACAATATGCTACTTAATTATTAGAACCTTGTTTGAAGAATTTGTTTAGTCTTGAAGCTTTGGGGCTAATCCAGATAGAATAAATACTTTTTACTGATGTCATGTATGAGCTACACCGTATTAGAAATTGCCATCATTTGAGCTTTAGGTGTGATGTGTGAACTGAAACACTTGACAAAAGATGTGGTAAGATTGGCATTAATTATAGCACAGCATATCTATTTTGAGGGGGTGTCCACATATCCTCGCTGTATATGTGATGCAGTTGTTGGTTAGGGTTTTTATACATTATTTTTGTGTAAAATATGGGTGCGTGTACTAATGACGTTTGAACGAGTTGAATTTCGTAGATACGAGATTTTAAGTATCTCTGAAGTTATTATTTAATTTTCTAATGGTGAAAACTGATTTTTTTCATCCAGCAATTCATTATGAAAGTTTCAGATCTTTATAGGTCTTAAACTCCATTTTATTTATAGCCCTGAACTCCTACATATTCTCAAACAATTCACGGATATCGCAGTTTGTACTGTGAAATTACTTGTATCTCACAGTGATTTCACTTAGAAACCTAAGACAGAAGATACCCTAGTACAGAGGGATAATGACATTTTTCTTAAAGTGATGATAAAATTCTGCAATCTCAAAGTAAAGTGGTCGTTGCCTTTAACTGCCAGAAGGACTGAAAGAGCCCATTTGCAGAATGATGAGGTTTGGAGATTTTTTTTTCCACTCTTGAGTTGATTATTCTCCTCCCGAATCACCCAGCAGCACTGTTCCTCATAAGAAAAAAAAAAAAAAGTATATATATACCTTTGGAGGTTAATATCAAACAAAATAACAGAACACTTCTGCTTAGAACATAAAAACATGTTGTTCTGAGCAACATTTTCCAACATCACTTGTTTCAGTAGTGTGAAATTCATATACCTGTTATGCCAAAAGGATAATCTGTTCCACGTGTGCAGAAAACCAGGCTCCTTTTCTTGCAGTTTATTGTAATACTGCTGTCCAAATTTCAGGTGACTTTTCTCAAGCATTCCTGTGATTATACATCTTGTTTGTTTAGGTGGAAATTATTGTTGTTTCTTCTGAAGGGGTAAAGTAAGATAGTCAGATAAAGACGCTTGGTAGCCTGTTCTTTCGTTGTCCTTTCTAATAGGAGCTAGTTCTGTCTTGTGTTTTCGTGGCTGGAAATGGGTTGCAAAATAAAGCATGGATAATGAAGCGACCGTGGAGTTCAGAACATGATCAAAAGCAGCTTCCACATTGAGGCAATTAGTTACACAGAAGTTAATTATCAGAACTAACTTTAGTCCTCAGAATAACACATGGAAATATTCATGCTAAACAAACTAGTTTGATGTGTGTTCTGACTGAAGCAAAAGAATTTAGTTTCGGGAACAGTCACAAAAGCAACAAATTAATAGCAAAACTTTATCTACTGCAGATTATGAACTTAAAAACAATCCTTTATTTGCACCTGGAAGCTTGATTTAAGAATTACATTCTTAGCTCATGTCATCTCTAGAGTTAAACAGCACGGAGCAAGTCATTTAGTGTAAGCAATTACGTGTGCACAAAGGATTCACAGAGCAAGCACTGTTTTTTGACATACCTAGCAAACAGTTCAGCTGCTTCCATTTCTAAGGAGTGGTGGAGGAAAACTAAATTTTAGTTTTTCAGAAAAACGTTAGTCATTTTGCAATATTTATTTCAGGGTGGTTTTATTTTTAAGCTTGCTTTTGTGATGCATCACCTGTAAATGTTTGTCTCACTGAAAAGTAATTTTCTGGTTTTAGTCTTCTGTTTCTAAAGACTATAAACATTCCTTTACATTTGCAGCCCAGTAGGCCTGGTTACCCCAGTCCGAGATCCAGTGAAGGGTTTTATCCAAGTCCGCAGCATATGGTGCAGCCGAATCATTACCAGGTATTACATCCAACACTGTCCATGCATTTTTTCAAACGTGGGGTTTGTAACTCGGTTGCAGCTGGTGGGAATGATTCACTGAGGTGGTTTAGTTTCATTGAGTTCTGTTAAATGGTTTTTGGTTTACGTCAGAACAAACCCCAGACTGAGGCTGGTAGGTTTACTCCACGTGGTAAATATTTTCATATCTGATACGGTGCTTAAATTCCTAAAACTGCGATGAAACACATCAGGCATTTTTGTGTTTATTGAAGGAACGTGGGGTTCACGTTAACTTTATGCTAAGCCATAAAATTACTTGCCTTATAAAATGGCACGAACTGATAGACTTTCCTGGGGCTTATTGATACTCTGCTCCCTGATGTTTCTCTGGAATGTTTCTATTTTCTGTTGGCGTTAGATCTACTACACCGTATACTCGCAGGTTTTGCTTTTCACCCTAACGCTGCTGAAGAAATTTAAAACAAAAGTTTGTCATGAAAGTACTTTAGGCATTCTTGGGTGTGTTCAAAGCTACAGCCATATACAGGAGTCTCAGTCGAGGGTTGTCTTTTTTTTTCCATGGAGAGAGGGACATTTTCGTTGTTTTAATGAGTACTTGAGACTCATTAAAACTATTCTGTTTTTTCTGCGGAGAAGTTCTCAGGCGGCGCAGCTAAGCACACTAATTACGTGCTGTCACTCAAGAATTAAGCTTGTAACATACACTGGGGGTACATTTTTGTGTGGCTCCACAGGGCCGTGTGTGCTGGCTCCTGTGGAGTATGAGGTCTGCATGTGTAGCTCTTGCAAATGCATCAATAGATTTATTTTTGTTCGTCAGAGGACATTGATTTCTTGGCTGCGGAGGTGAAAACACACTTTCTGATGCTTCTGTTTTGATAACAATCCTAAAATAATTACAGTTATCCTCTAAAGTTACATATTTCTGTATATTTAGATACAGTTGTCCTCAAATAGTTATTGTTATGTTAATGGTAGGCGTCCTCAAAGACTTCAAAAAGAGGATTTGTGTCGTATTTTGGCTTGGCTTCCTTCTTCTGGTGTTGCTTCCCCTCCTCCTCCTCCATCTCAGTGGCTACTTGAATTGGGAGTTTCTGCACTCGTGTATTTGCTGCCTTGGGGATGGGGAGCTATTAATTATGGGGAAGCATAGGTCTTATTAATATAACTCTTTTTTTTTTTAACCCTAAAGGTGTCTGGCTACCCTGGTTCTCATGGAATACCAGCCATGGCAGGCAGCATTTATCCTGGACAGGCCTCTCTCTTGGATCAAGCAGATTCCTGGAACCATCGGCCTCAGGAAATATCAGTGTGGCAACCAAACATGGAGGTACTGTGAACTGTCCCATCTCTTGTTGCACTCTGTACAGGAATTTTTGATTATTTAGGTACATGTGGAGATTACTGTAGGAAAATTAAATGTTTCTCTGGTGTTTTTTACATTGCCTCACTGCAGTGGGATGGGAGTCACAACTGAATTCTGTTCTTTTTGAAGCAAATCCTCCTGTGTGAGGTTGGGCTTGAAGTGAACTCTTTACACAAATTTTTGATGAAGCTATTACTCCCTATCGTCTTAACGAAGTGAGTGGTAGCAAATATTTTGCATTTGTTGAAAGAAGGCTTTAGTGAAACTTATTGCCGTTAGTAGAAATGGGAACATTCATGCAGAAATACATAATATCATAACTGTTTAAAAATACCTCTCGTGGGAGATATCCAGCATAGCTAAAGTATGAGAGGCATCTCCGTAATTTACCCGGAACAGAAAATGAATCATAGAATCATGGAATGGTTTGGGTTGGAAGGGACCTCAAAGATCATCGAGTTCCAACCCTCCTGCCATGGGCAGGGAAACCCTCCACTACACCAGGTTGCCCAAAGCCTCATCCAACCTGGCCTTGAACACTTCCAGGGATGGGGCAGCCACAGCTCCTCTGGGCAACCTGTTCCAGTGCCTCACCACCCTCAGAGCAAAAAATTTCTTCCTTAGATCTAATCTAAATCTGCCCTCTTTCAATTTAAAGCCATTGCCCCTTGTCCTATCCCTACACACCCTTGTCAAAAGTCCTTTTCCAGCTTTCCTGTAGGCCCCCTTCAGGTACTGGAAGGCTGCTATAAGATCACCCCGGAGCCTTCTCTTCTCCAGGCTGAACAGCCCCAACTCTCTCTTTTGAAACGGCCTGCAAAACTGTTCTTGAGTTATATTCCTGTTAAGTGCTTTTCAGCCTGTCACGACTGCACAGAGCTGCTGCGAGGAGCATCAAATTAATTCCCTCTTTAACCTTCCGTCTTTTTTTTTTTCTGTTCTCCTCCAGTACTTTATACTTTTGTCATTCTGGTCTATCCTCCCGCAGAGATTCACTTTGTGCAGTTTCTGTCTTAAATCCTTTTCCTCTCTAACCAGTGCTCTGTTCTCTCTGCCTTTGATAAACATTTAAGTGATAACTGAGGCTCACCCCTTAACTGCAGGTGAGCAGACAGGTGTCTGAGTCTGCAGTCTGACTGCCCTACTCTCCATGGATTTTCCATTGCAACTTGCTGTCATCCTGTCGTTGCTCACACTGGATATGGCTGAGGGTTGTAGTCTCAAGTAGCTCAACATCCCTGTGGTTTATTGACTGTGGAAACAGCTTAGTCTAACTATGTTGTCCTTGAATAAAGTGTTGGTGGAAGCATGTGAATGCTTTGCAAGTGTTGGTAATAATCAATTGCAGCCAAAGTTTTCACAAAAGCTTGGCAAGTCGGTTACTTACAAACAGTCTTAATGAAGTTTGTTACCAAAGTCCCTTTGGCTTCATTAAAAATACTAATTTGTACACTGTTTGCTAATGATTTCCAGACAGTATTGGGATATGGTATATTCAGTATCATAAGCTTAAGATATGCATAAAAACTTGCTCAAAAATAATTTAAAATGTTTTTGTGACATGGTTTTTGCAAGTGTCGGCTAAAACTGAAAAGCATATTTGTTTTGGGTAAAAATGTATCTTGCATCTTTTAACAATTGCATAGTTACATTATTGCTCAAGACCAAGAAAACAAAATTGATAAATCTGGTTTTGTTGTCCAACGTAAATGATGTGCAATATATGATGTTACAATGTTGCTGAAAAACAAAACAGAATTTTTCAAATTTTTTTGGTTCCAGTGATTAGGAACAAGACAGATAAAATGTTTGTAGTTGGAAAGTGTTTCTTCTGATGGTCTGCTTCAGTTTATAAAGAGTTGAAGGAACTCTACTTGACTGCTGTTATGCATTTGGACTTCTAAAAATCTATTCTTTTATAATCTGTCAGTTCTTGTAACTGTTTATACAAATTTTAAGTTGTTGTGAGACTGAATAAACCTACTCTGTTTTGCAGGATTCAGGCACTTTGGACATAAGGGGAATGGGGCAGATTCTACCCACGCATCTCATGGAGGAGAGATTGATACGACAACAACAAGAGATGGAAGAAGACCAGCGTTGGCTTGAAAAAGAGGAACGATTCCTGGTAATACTTTGTTTCATAGTGTTTCTTAATTTATTTTGGTTTTTCTTTTTTTATTGCAGCTTGATAAAACTAGTCGCTTTGTGAAATGAGAGCATTTACTGAACATAGGAGTTACTACTAAAATGTAGGTTTGGAAACAGTTTTTAAATTAAGTATTCAGCTAGTAAGTGAATCCTGTATTACAAATAACCTTCAACAGCTGGGTTTTTTAGTCAGTCTCACTTTATCCAGCTGAGTATTTGTGTGGGAAGTTGTGGGTATAATTCTGTGCCAATCTGGAGATTGGTTTGAAGCCTGTTTGGTTGTAAGGAGATAGATCTGTTCATACTTTACTCCTCAAAAAGGGATAACCCTCAAGCATCTAACAATCCTGACTGTAGTAAGAGTTGTAAGCAGTCTTGCACTGAAGGAATAATGAGACACGTTAATGAGAAGAAGTAATTTAAGAGAGCTCTGTGAGGATGGGAAAAAGTTCTAAACATCACCCGGATGAGGAAGAAGAAATGCATTGGTGATGAGATCTTCTGTTGCTGTTTCTCTGCTGTTCTATGTGTTCTCATTGTTAGTGCCACTAGTGTATGGTTTTCAGTTTAAATCTGGCTTCTCAGTTGTCAAAATTCAAGTTCTGTGTTAGAATTCTCCTACTGGAGGCTGATGACTACAGACGCAGCAGAAGATGGTAGTGCCACATCACTCTGTATTGGGCTCATGCTGGGGAGCCTACAGGTGAGTGAGCCTCACTGGGCAGGTGGATCATTTACAGTGATGTGGTACAGGTCATGACAAACATCGGTCGTGTGTTTGTTCTGAAGTGTATTTCAAGGAATGTTTCGCTTTGGAAGCATTTTGTTTCATGTCGTTACAAGACATGCCTCTCTAAATGCAGGTGCCATGGGTTTGTTACGAGAGGTAAGTTTGAATAAATGTGATCTCTGTTTAAAGCAGATGATGATGATGGTCTGTGGTTTCTGTAAGAGTTCTCAGCACTGTCTACAGCTGGTGTCCAGGAAGATCTTAGTTGTTGTCGTGGCTCAGCCCCGCCGGCGGCTCAGCCACC